TATCATGACAAAAGCATAAACAACATTTAGTACTGTTCTCCAAAATCTGTTTCACTATTTTTCAGCTCTAGCTCCTAAGAAGCAAAATCTACTTTATTCAAATTCAGGAAATTAAAAAAAAAAAAAAACATAAATCAAACCTTACTCCCACCACTATGAAAGTATTAAGATTGTGAAAGACCTGTAGATGTTAATCAAAATTCTTATAACATTTCTCACGTGTGTTTTCTCTTCACTGTCTATGCTGCTATTACCACTAGAACTAATTTAAAGAGCTGTGAGAGATAAAGCTTGGGTCTCCTGCAGGGTTATCAGGATAGAAGGAATAAACCCAAATACCCAGGGTGCCATAACATTTTCCTCCTTCATATTCAGTGACTACTCTCAGCTTCTAATAGTCCACTGATCTGAACACCAGTTTCCGTGGGTTTTCTCTTCACTACTGTTATAAATAAAGAAAATAAAAAAAAGTTCTAGAAATTCTGGAAGCATCCTTACACATCACAGCATCAAGAGTTCCAGTGATCAAAAGTTTTATATGCAATATCTGTTCTGAAACATTATTTGTTTTTTTGTTATCTTTAAATGAATTGAAATTAATGCTGATGTCCTATATAGGGAAAAAAAAAAAAAAAAAAAAAAAAAAAAAAAAAAAAAAAAACAAAAAAAAAAAAAAAAAAAAAAAAAAACAAACAAAACAAAACAAAACAAACAAACAAACAAAAAAAAACAAACAAACCAAACCAAAACCAACATAAAACAATGGAAACTGTTTGGAATTTTTGTATTGATTTTAAATATCCTTAGTCCTGACCAATTTTACTAAAATGAGAAATCTGCTCTCTGACCCTCTCAGTTACTGGGGAAACAGACCTGAGTTCAGAGTGTTTAGAAAAGTTAGGTAAATCAGAACTTAGTTACTGAATAAAACAAAACCTTTTTGGGGAAAAAAAAAAAAAATAAATAAAGTGATATGTTAAAATTGCTTATAGTCAGCCATATTTAAAACTAACTTCTTCACAATCACATTTACATCATGACCTCAAAAGTGCATTATCCCAGTTATGAAGAGGATGAGAAGCCTTTTCTTTGGCCAATGTGTAACTGTGCCATTGATTTTATGCATTCCATCCAGAAAGGGTACATTTGAAAAGCCCAAACACATTTAACAGTGCTAGAGGACTCTGGAAGAGCATTTGCATATCAGAGTCTGCAGTGCTTGCTGTAAGGCACTACATCTAATGATGTTTTAATGTACAGCATGCATTTCCCAGTTTGTTCCCAGTTGCCTTTCTCTTACAATTTTATAAAATTGTCACTTTCACATTTAAAGCCATCTGTCACATGAAAAAGCCTTGGGTTGTTTTTTGAGGGGGTTTATTATTTATTTATTTTATTTTTAGTCTGCTGGTTTTCGGAGGACGGAATAAGAAAGAAGGTGATATAATGAAGGGAGAAAAGAGTAAACCAAACAGGCTCTAATTTCTTTTTTTCTTTTTTTTTTTTTTTGGGCCTGGGGCTAGGTTAACCTGAACTCTGATTTACATGTCTTACTTGTCACAATCTGATGTTTCAGGAACAAAAGACAGGAAATATCTGCAGAGAGTCATCTTTCTTGCACACACTAAACAGGAAGAATTATATATCAGAGACTAGGAGAGATTTTGCATGGCTTTCTTTTTGCAGCACAGACTATTTTTTTTGTAGCCATGGCATAAGCAGATTTTGTCAGCCCACATGAAACCATATAGGTGAGTTGGAGGTAGAAAACATCTTTCCTTCTCACATGAAAAAGACTGTAGAGCATGGTAGAGGTAGCAGAGTGAGGGAAGAAAACTAAACACAAAGAATACAGGGGAATTATTCTAATATGTTTTAACTCCATAACTAGTTCCCCTTATTTAGCCTTTATATTTCATAGGTGCTAAGAGGCAAAAATGTAAGGACTTGTGGGTGAATGCTTTACAAAAACAAACCCAAACAAAACCAGTCCTGCGCAAAAAAAAAAAAAAAAAAAAAAAATACCCACAAAAAAAACCCTATAAACAAACAAAACTCATAATAACGTGGTTTATCTTATAGACATCTATCATGGACAAACCTCACTGAGACTGTAATTAAAGAGAAAAAGAGTTCTGTGGATACTACACTAAGTTGTTCAGAGCAGGTATTTGTCCGGAAAACAAGAGAGCAGGAACTTGAAACTAGTGTCAACAGTTCTAAGTATTATTTTAAGACAGTAATGACTTCCTTGGGATGTAACTGACATTCATTTTTCACTATCACTTTATGGAATAGTGAGATCAACTGTAAATATTGCTGGTTTACTTTTAGTTATTTGGAACAGGTAAGACTGAAGGATGAAATTATTGCATTTGTACTTCAGAACACAGTCCACATATCCAGGGGTAAGTGGATAAAGAACTGCCTACTCTTACAACACAAGACCCAGTGAGATCCCTCTGAAGGGAAGAATGCAAATTGGAAAATCTGGAAGGTGTGGATCAAAGTTAAAGTATGTATCATTAGCATTTCTGCTTTTCTTTATTTTCTTTAATTCTGGAATGGTACATAGCAATTCAGAAACAGGCATCATTTCTGGAACTATAACTATGTGTCATGCATGCGTCTGAAAAAGAATGAAAAAGACTGAAATGAAAAAAAAAAAATCACCTTTCAAATTATTAAATATATTTTTGAGCTATAAGATTATAGCCACCTGGTCTGTCTTCGACAGCAACCACTGAATTAAACTACTAAAAGTACATGGTAATTCTAGAAATTCAAAATAAATGGAAAGATGATAAACAGTATGCAATTCATTTGGAATGAAAGCACTTATATATAGGAAAAAAAAGCATTTCAAGAACTCACAAAGTCATTAATACAGAGAAAATCTTAATCAACTTAATAAAAACTTTCGATATTTCTAAAACCATCACATTCTTTATATAATGCATTACAGTGGATAATGTATGAAGTAAATATTTCTTTTCAATTCAGCCTAAACTTAGTAGATAGTTGTCCTTGATTTGTTTCCACAGGCATGGGATCAATCCCATGCCAAGTAACTAAAATACAGAAAAATACATAATCTTCCTCAAAAGTAGTTACTGACCACATACAACATATTTTAACTGTGTATCTGCTTATTCTACATGTTTTATTATATTTTGTAATACCGATACTATCCTTTTTTTATCCTTTAGACTCATATATTTTCCACTGGTAGCACAGCATTAGGGATATCACAGAAAGCAGCAATATGATACTTTGCACAGTGTGATAAAGCAAATTATAATAGTGAATATAGATAATTAAAATCTAGATTTTAAGCTGTGCAAAAGACACATCTTCAGTTTGAAAATTGTTGTGGTGAGCAGAGCCCACCCTAGGCAGGGATCGGCGTGTGAAAGATCTCGCGATGTAATAGAAAGCTTAGACTGCCCACGGGGGGCCTTGTGGGCGTGGCTTGTCATATATAAGGAATTGCAGCGACGCAATAAATGCCATTTGCAGCATCCTTCACATTGAAGCCTGTGTCTGTGATGGCACCCAACGGTAGAGGTTGGGTGGCAGCTATCCTGGGGATCGTGTGTCAGTAACGACAGAAAATGTTTGAGAATAAGACTTTAAGTAGGAATTTAAACACTGTTAAATGACTGGGTAAAGGACTGAGAAGAAGCAAAGTTTTTTGAGTTTCAGTGAAGCTTAGGGTCAGGAAAGAATGTACTCTCCTGAAGTGCTAAAGATACAGGATTTCAGAGGGGAAACTCAGACAAACTTTCAGCTGGAAATAATAAAGTCATCTGTTTGGCCTCCATTTTTTAGCTTTTAGCAGTCCTGGTACTTAAAACAATGTCAGAGCAGCATCACCAGATTCTTGGAGGAATCTTAAGTCAGGTTCTCAGTCTAGAAGCAGATGTCACAGAGAAATTCTGTGTGTTTTTAGCTTCTCACACCCTTCTCCTGGCATGAGCTATCTGTTGTCTCAGATGGGGCAGTTTACCTAATTTATAAGGTGACCCAACTTCCTGCAGCAAGGCTGATATTTTCAGCATTCTTAGTTCATGGTCTTTTATTCACTTTACAAAGCTGAGTTTAAGGCAGAAAGGCCAGAGATGTGTTTCACTGATGTTCAGTTTAAAGTCAGGTATGAATGAAGGGAAATAGAAGGGAGATATATGGAGACCATTCAGAAGAGTTCAGCTGTGTAAAGCAAGACTTAAGCACGGAAGCTGAAAAAAAAAATAAAAAACCCGAAAATCCTAAAGAAAACCAACACATGGAAGTACTTAAAACAAGGAATTAAAGAGAATGCTTAAAAAAAGCCCTCTGTTTCCCTCATGGAGAAAAGATGTGGAAAATAAGAAGCAGTAAGCAATGTGATAAAAGAAATATTTTTTTCAGAGGACCAGGGACAAAGAACTGTAACAGGAAGAAAACAGGAAGATTTACATCATCCAGCAGATCAATACAAACATAACACTTATGCATTTACCTTCCAAGTGCTTATACCAGTTATTAATGTTTTATTAATGTTTTATTAATGACAGAAAATTATTCTTAGTAGTCCTTAAATATGTAACAACTTTGATGTATCCTTCCGTTGTGTCCATGTGGGTCTATCGACTTGTACTCTTACTGGCTCAGGACCAAGACCATATATATTTAAAAATGTAAATATTTTCCACATTTTGGCCTTCCAGTAGAAAGTATACCATCTTAAGATGCAGTTTTTTGGACTATAAAACAACAGTTTGCAGTAAATCAGTTATTGGATTATGTTCGCATCATTCATTCCGACACAGAAAGAACTGGAAAATAAGCATCAAATTCTGTTAGGTGATGCGGAATAGTGAAGACTGCACATACACTTATGGAATAAGTTTTTATGAAGATCAAATTTAAGCTTGGAAATCAACTTTCAAATGTAATTTGGGTGGCAACAGACAATGATGAATAGTCATTTAATTCAGCTGATTCAGTAAAACACTTACTGTATGTGCATCCATACAGTTCAATGCGCATTCCTATTCTGCCGTTTGGATTCCAGCCCAAAGGCACAAAACGGATAAATCTTGCTTTAATGGAATGCTGAAGCTTATAGTATACGACACTGTCTGCATTTGTGTTTCCAGAAAATGCCTAGAAGAAAATGAAAAAGAGATTAACTACATTTGTATCAAATACAGATTATATGGAAATATTGCTGACCTTTCATTTTATAACCTCACCTGGTAAACAGTCAAGCACAGGAGTAAAATGTAATTGTCAGTGAATTCCGTAGGAGCAATCACTGAATCTTGATTATTCTTCTAGACTAAGTGTTAAGTCATCTGTGCATGTACTGACATGACACTCATTGAAAAATCTCACACTTTCTAAAATTTAAATGTATGAAATATTTCAAAACCAAACATACCTTTCACAAAATGTGTAGAACATCCTGGCATTACAGTGTACTGTACCATCTAATACTTTTTCATAAGACAACAGAATGAGCTATATGATTTCCTCTTACCAAAAGGTTAGATAAATTTCATTGCAAATCTGTTTTAGATGTATAAAATACTCAGTCCAAGCTCTAATACTGATAGACCATGGGGTTGAATGCCTCTGGTTTCCAACTAAAGAATCCAGAGTATTATAAAAGGATTTTAACTCACTGTTCTGTTGAAAAAAGAACACTGAATCTACATTTCGAATTTTTTCTCCCTGATAAGAGATTAAAAAATAAAGCATTATCATGAGAACTTTTTTTGGTGGCATTTAACTGTTAAGATTACTTTTCCTTTCTTTACACAAATAAAACATACAGAAAAATAAAGAAGAATATAAAAATATTTAAAACACTGTAGTAATAAAATTCAGTATCCTAAAGACTGAAGAATATATTCTGATTTTGTTGGTTTTATGTTCGGATGTTGCATGATTTGTTGTTCGGTTGGTTGTTTTTTTTTTCTCATTGCCTGTTTGTGATATGTGAAGCAGAAAAAAATTTGTTCAAACTTTTGGATCTAAATATTTCATAAATGAGACAGAAGTACTCTCTGAAATATTTTGATGCATAGAATTAAAAGGTTTACACATTTCTGGACATGTGGACAGTAATTTTCTACAGCTATAAACCACACATTTTGTCACTGCAGAATTGTATAGAAAACATCATTCTGAGGTATGCAGCTTCTCTTTCAATAAGTTTTTAAAACAGAGGTGAGTTTCACTGCCATAATTTTTTACCCTCCTATACAATTCTTTGCATCTTCCCTCACCTGCACTAGTAAAATTTTAATAAGTTCTAATCTCTGAACATTCAATAAAAAACAAACAAACAAACAAACAAACAAAAACCCAAAACAAACAAACAGCTAATGAATGGACTCATTACAGCTAACTTATTAAGCGAGTAATAAGCAATGAGTGTTAGTGACTCTGAATGTCCACAACACTTTCAGCTTCATGTTTTGTAATTCCACACTCACAGTGGGTGAAGGTGGAAACATGCTAAAACAAACACCGAAGAAGAGGTACTATTTGGAGGGCAAGACCCTTGCAGACCTCTTGTCTGTTCAAATCCTTATTTACAGTCTTTAACAAATAGAGCTGCCAGTGAAAGTGCCAATTACTTAGCTGACTGAACCAGAACCCAGGTCCCAGAAGTTTAAGTACTGTGAGCAAATGATTTTTTCAATTAGAATTTAATTTTTTTTCCAAAATCATTTTCAGAGGGCAGCAACCCCATGAAAATTAGTTGTTAATTTTTGAGTACACAATGCATACTGCTTGATTTTTTACAGCAAGGTATACCAAAGCAATTTTTTCTTAATTTAAAATTATTCCTATTCTTATCTAAAATTGTTCTTAATATGAAATTATTCTTAATTTAAAATTAAATTAAAATTTTTTACTTCAGTAACTGGCTAAAAGTAATTCAAACTACTGCTTAAACCAGAATGGTCAGTTTAAAAGTCAGTATTTTAAACTGCTATTTTACAAAGCTTTTATCTGAGAAGAATATATTTTAAACTGTATCAGCTCAGTTGAGTATTAAATGGATATTTATTGCATGATTTTAAACACTGTAAAGGTTAAAATACATAATTTGAGTGTTTGGGTTTTTTTTCCAGTTTTAAACCTTATCACTAAAAAGAGAAAGAGAAGGCAATCAGACAGCTTTTCCTTCAGACTAGAAATACTAATGGCATACCTGAAGCCTATCAAAGCAGCTTGTAGGCTTTTTAGAGAAATATGTTCAACATGATGGATACACTCTTGTCTTTACAGTAGAGCCCAATTGCTGTTTCATGGCCCAGTCCAGCAATCACTTAAGCACACAACAATAACAATCATACAATGAGCTTTCTCCCTCCCACTCCTGCCTTCTTCAGGTTAATCAGATTGCTTCATTCTTTGCTATATCACTAAAAGGGAGCATGCCATTATTCTAGATTATGCAGAGTCCTCACAACCTACACAGTCATCTGAGGGTTAAAGAGACTCCATGTGACCCTCAGTTACAATGAATGTTACATATAATAAGTATTGTTTGCATAAACATTAAAAGGGTTGTAAAGCTAACCTGTCCACTACAACCACGTACAGAATCCCAGTTAATGCTCTTACATATATTATCGTCTACTGTTTTTCAGCAGTGTGAAGACATACTGTCTTTCTCAAAGAACAGTTTTTGAAATATGAAAACTCTGTGTTGCAGTTTAGCCTTAAACAGTAGCAGGGGCACTGAGCAGCATAAATGTCAAAGTAGATAGCTCTTCACAGCCTATTCTACTGCACAAAGTAAAAGTAGCCTAGGCCACACTAAAACCTGAAATGAGGGCCTACTCACAAACCTGTTTTAACCCTCTGACTCAATTTTTGGCCCTGACATTTCTTTACCTCAAGCTATTTTAGCCCTTCTTTGAAGACAGAATTATTCGGTGCATTGTGCTCTGGACTGTGTTATTAAATTTAAATCCTGTGAGTAGAAGAGCGCCACCAAGGTCAGAATGATTGTGAAGGTAAACTAACATCAAGATAAGGTGAAAATGAAGTAAGTTTCTTTCCCTCTCCATCCTTTTCCTAGAAAGCAAATGTGTTTGCAGATTTCAGATAACACCAACATCATGTCCAAAACTTCCTCAGCCAGTCAAAAAGTCCCCCAAAGGTAAGGCTGTGTGTAAGACATACACTGTGCATACTGAGCCATATTTTAGATCACCTGGAACAGATGATGCTTATTTACAAATGTAATTCTTACTGTACAATACATATACTGTAAAACATACTAAATCAAATTCACATTTTTACATGCATTGTGTACCCATTGTAAGAAATAAGATATTTAATACAAATACTACTTCACATTAAATTACAATACTATGATGTTAAGTATGTATACTTAGATGCAAATCCTAATTTTTTGTTTAATGACAAGAACTGCAACAGTACCCCCAACCTGGATAATTGTTTCAGAAAAGGATGTTTAACAGTGAGATACTAGTGTACCTCAAGAAGAATCTGAGCTTTGTGTTTTATGAATTCAACTACCAAAATTATCAAAAGCAGCTGACAAAATCAGTGTGAAGTAACTAAGAGCTGTTATAGGATATATAGGATACTTGTTCTTATTGCATGGTTGATCGTTTTACTTTGGAAGTCCTGTCAAGGCAAACTGTCTGTACAATCTTTCCTGCTTATGACGCACACTAAAACTGTAGCTGTTATTTGGGCCAAAGGTCATCAGGAAAGAATCAGAAAACCCAGTATATTGCTGGGAATTTAATCACCTTAGAGCACAATTTAAATTACTCTAATAATGTTTCAGGATTAATAAATCTTGAGCTTTTCTGAAAACTCGGGGAGTTCAAAACAAATTATTTTCTCCCATAATTTCTAGGATCTATCCAAGTTCATACAGTAGTTTAATGATTTAATTCTCACTAAAAAAAGGAGTGTCTATTCAAGTTAGCCTAGCACAAAATACATTTAACATCAACATCAATGAAATATTCATTGCACAAAAATCCAAACATTCAGACTCTTCCTTCTCATCCTACTACGACATGGGAAGCTACTGTTAGTCTTTTGAAGTAAGTCCTGAAAGTCAACAGATGCGAACTCTTTGTTTAAAGTGAAAAAATGAGTGTGAAAGTCCTTCACTACGACCAGAAAACACTGTACCAGATAATTGCTTCCTTTAGTTGATCTCTAGATTGCAATTAGGGCTAGAAGAGAAGGATTGCATAGATAAAATGATCAAAGATTCTTAGGGCCATATTGATAATAAATGATTTATGAAAAAATGACAAATCTGTTGGTTATAAAATATTAGCAGTAGCATCCTAGTGAGAAGCCCTGTGCTGTATGTTACTTAACTGTATTTTTCACCAAGTCTTGCCTCCAAATTGTTTGAAGATACAGATGAACTATGCTAGAATAATCTTAATAATCTTGTGACTACACAGCAGTCACAAATATTAATAAATTTGACTGATTATAATCTACACAGTAACAAAGGATGGTTTTTACATATTAGTTACATAATTAGTAAAAACCAGACAGAAATAAAAAAGTGCATAGAAAACTGTCATAAAATCTTATTCCAGTCAATGTCCATTGCCTGCAACATCTGCTATTTCCATAGAAACATACTTCATCTGGCAAGCTGTGATGCATTTACTTCATCTGCAAGTTGTGCATATCATCTCACCAACGCTATAGTCAAAAGAAAAATATCTGGCCAGCAGTAACATGATTTCAAAGAAAAATGGTGCAGTGCCCTTAAAAAGAGTTATGCTGCAATATGATTAATTGGTCAGATATATTGATGTAACGCACATGATATTATGTTTCCCTTTCATTCAGTGGTTCTCTCAATCTAGTATTTTCCTCAGTTACCTAGGAGTTTGTGCTTTTTTGCTTTTCTGTTAGCTAGGGCTTTTTTATCATATACATACTCCTAATATACTTGCTTAAAAGATCTGAAATGTTTATGGCATACTTATTTCATCAATTAGTATAAGCTTGAGCAATAAGACTCACAAAGTAAATTTCCACTTGAACACATTATTTGAAAATTACAAAATAAACAAAAATATTAAAAAAAAAAAATCCTCTAAAAGGAAAGATTTCAAAGACTCCTTAAC